GTAAATATTAATTACAGCCATTAGCCAATAATTATAAATTAATGTATACAATATATCATTTGTAATTTAACTTTATAATCTAGTTTACATGTAAATACTTGAAATGTTTTTTTGTCTAGGATAAGAATCAGACATTCTATACCTGTATAACTGATAATATGCACTTGAATTTAATTTTTAACATTCATATTTATTTTAACTAAAATAATATAATATTAAAAGAGTGTTTTTATTACATATTTGTGTAATTTATCTAAATGATGACATTAAATTATTTTAGTCTTGACCAATAACATATCATCACGAATCCTTCTTATATAAGCTTGTTATTTATTTAATACAAGTAATTATTACAGTTAGTAGTAACGTTTCTCTCATGTATTTAATCTAATATATCAAAATTAAGATTTATGATTACGTAAACGATTTTTTTTAAATATTATTCATGAAGTGGTATACCCGTATACCGCAACAATGTACAATGTTTTGTTGTACAACAACATGTACAACAAAATATGAGATTTTAACTTACTGTAATTTATGAATTCGCGCTGTTATTGATAGAATATAATTAATAAAATATAAAGYCATCACGAAGGGACTTCATGCAGACATGCAGCATCCAAATTATTAAAGTTTAATATGCTATAAAGTAGGTACTAATCATTACCACACACTAMACAGTGGCATATACACAGGTTAACCTAACAAGATTCTAGGATTCTAACCGCCCTCCCATGAAATTTCTCCCTTCTATAAAAAAAATCTTATATTCCACCATAGTCAAGTGTAGATTAATTGTTAGTCTTTTTAATAGCTAATAAAATAAATTAATGATGGCAATTACATCGCAACCATAGGTAGTTCATTTTTTTCTTTAGCTGATTAAGAACATCTTTAAGCCTCTGTAATAATTGTCATAATACCATGTATCGTAAATTATAACTTCTACCWACGTGCATTACGGACTGAAGAGATTTTGTAAACGACCAGGTTAAATTCTATAAAAGTAAACTAACATAGTACATTTGAGACTAATTCTATAATTTGTTTTAATCAAATATATATAAAAAACTGTTTGGCAAAAAATAATGTAAATGGGAATTATCTACAACCCTAACCTAACTAAAATCATCATGCGCACACTATTGTTACCACGTTACCACGCACTAAATATTTTCCGTATTAATAACAATAATATATTATTTTCAAT